GGCATTTGATAACCGGTATACAACTTAATGATATTAAAAGTACAAACAAAATATATAATGTATTAATGTTTCAAGTTAATACATTTTCACATTATCCCACATCGAAGAGGTAAAAGGAAGTTGTAGTGAATAAATACCTTTTTGTACCCAACGAGGATAACGCGTGCGAAGTAAGAAGAGCCACGTGGAGAGGTGTGCGGACCTTAGGTTTTTGTAATTTTTAAAACCTATCTTATCCTGAAATTTACAAAAATGCCCATTGTTGAAGAATCGGGCGGGCCATGACGTCATGAATCGAAGAATCGGGACATGAATCAAAGAATTGGGAGATTCATGACGTCGAAGAATCGGGACGTGAATCGAAGAATTGGGAGATTCATGACGTCGAAGAATCGAGACATGAATCGAAGAACTGGGAGATTCATGATGACACATGACGGTTTACGGCACGAAATCGAGAAGAACCAGGCGATTTCCGGTTTTTCACTCCCGAGTCGAACAAGAGGCGGGCCATGACGTCATGAATCGAAGAATGGGAACATGAATCGAAAATTGGGAGATTCATGGCATTGAAGAATCGGGACGTCACATGACGGTTTACGGCACGAAATCGGTTTACGGTACAGAATCGAAAAAAACCGGGGGATTTCCTGTATTTCACTCCCGAGTCGAACCGGGCGAGTCCGATTCGACTCGCAGACTTTTAAATCATTGACGCACCTTGGGCAAAGAGTGTGTTGTTTAGCCTCGCATAGGTTGCAAAGAGTGTGTTGTTTAGCCTCGCATAGGGCAATGAGATATTCCAGGAGTGTGTTGTTTAGCCTCGCATAGGGCAATGAGATATTCCAGGAGTGTGTTGTTTAGCCTCGCATAGGGCAATGAGATATTCCAGGAGTGTGTTGTTTAGCCTCGCATAGGGCAATGAGATATTCTAAGATAAAGAGGATAGGGCATAGGGCCTACCTTGGGCAAAGAATGTGTTGTTTAGCCTCGCATAGGCCCCACCTTGGGCAAAGAATGTGTCGTTTAGCTTCGCATAGGGCCCACCTTGGGCAAAGAGTGTGTTGTTTAGCCTCGCATAGGGCAATGAAATATTCCAAGCTAAAGAGGATAGGGTCATAGGGGTGCAAAGAGTGTGTTGTTTAGCCTCGCATAGGGCAATGAGATATTCCAAGATAAAAAGTCTCATCTTCTCTCAATCACCTCAAAAACCTTAACGTTGGGTGTTAAAATAACTATAACAGAAGAGAGACTTAAGAGGATACTCCCCTACTCACTTATGATCCTAAAAGGAGATTTAGTTGCCATACCCTACAGACCATCTAAAGTAACCGGCAATCATAGATCTGCACAAAACTATATTTCTCTACATTTAGGAGGTATCCCCCTTCTACTGCCTTAAGCCAAACTCCCGACATGCCCAACCCTTACTTAACGAAAATGACTTAGAACCACAACTGCTCTTTTAAATAGAGACTCATCCACCACCATTTATACAAAAGAGCTTTATTAACCAATCTAATGCTTCTAATACCCAAACCCCTTCCTTCTTGGGTGTACATACTCTCTCCCATCTAAGAAGATAGAATTTCCGCTGGTCACTCCCTCATTATGTTCTCAATCTTTTTAGCGACCGAGGCAGGCATATTAATCAAGGACATCTGATAAACCAGAAGGTTTGCCAAACAAGATCTTAAGAGCGTCACTCTTCCTCCAAGAGATAAGTATTTGGGTTTCCATAAATCCAACTTACATTGAACCATCTCAAGCTCTTTATCTCAAACTGCTAACGAAAACCTAGAGTCAGAAATTGGTAAGCCAAGATCTACAAGGGGAAAGGAACCAACGTTACAACCCATCACTGTGGCCAAGGATTCAATCAAAGGCTCAGTACAGTTGATGCCCACCATGGAGGATTTATGAAAGTTCATTGTAAAGCCAATAATAGCTTCACAAATTTCTAGGAATAATGTGATGTTCTTAATATGTAGGGGATTCGTATCACAGAAAATAAGAGTATCGTCAACATATTACAGATGGGAGACTACCATACCTGAATTAGCAATAGAAAACCCCAAAAAATGCCCCACCCTCTCCACATTGCTCAGCATTAAAACTGAAGCACTCAGCATAAATAGTAAATAGGAAGGGAGAGAGAGCATCCCCTTGGCAAAGACCTCTAGAGGCTTGAAAAAAACCAATCGAATTACCATTGAATAGCACCGAGAAATGGGTAGAAGAAAGAAAACCAAACATCCAGCTTCTCCACCTGTCACCAAACCCTATGCATTTCAATAAAAGGTACCTGGATGTTTGAGAGTTCATCATCAATCAATCGTTTGTTGGCCAAGTAGTAAGGTCATCTACCGTTGGGAAAACTAAAGTCCCCTATTTCCTTTTCTTGGGTTGGGTGTTTGAGGGCTATAAATATGAAACATGTTACAGAAACCCAATATTTATTGTTAAGTATTTCCATTTTATTGTCAAAAATGCTTATTACAATCCCAAGGGAAAAGCATATATTGAGACCATTTACCTTTGATAGATGATCACAATTAATCGTGACCATTGAATATGAAATTTGGTGGTTGCATTTATTTCATTGATTAAGCTCAAAGTTCAAAAGAAATCTTCTTGAACTTTGTGACACACCCAAGCTATTAGATTTGACATCGGATGGCTATAAATAATTGTGACGTCCCTGTGACAAAGATAAATGGTCTCTTTATATACAATCCCTTACTATTTTTATTATGCTATTTGAACCATGCTAGTTATGGTTTAACAAATTTCAAATGACATGCCATTTAGGAGGCCTGAATAGAAACATCATTTGATATTTAAATTTTTCCCAAAATGAACCAAAACCTCAATCCTTATCAAGGTTTAAAAATAGTCTTGTAATGAAAATGAGGCATAAAAGGCCTAGCCTCCCTTTAGTATATATTTCATCGAGAAATTTATCAAAATGTTTTTAAGAGATTAATTAATTAATAATCGATTTATATTTTTAATTAATTTTAAAATACCCATCAAAATATACATAATTTTGACTTGAAAAAAAAGAGAAAGAAGAATGTCAAGTACTTGAAATGAGAGGTGTATTTTGATAATTTTTTCTATATATTTTATTAAGTGATCGAAAAGGGTGATACAATTTGTTGGTAAAAATGAAATTTATTTTGCATAAAATATCAGTAGCAAAATGGAATCATCAGTGACATTCTTAATAAAATAGTACTTGGGATCATAAAATAATGGAAATAATAGCTAATTTTTGAAACAGTAGCCATTATTTCTATAAGGCAACTATGATACCAACATTGCTCTATGGGACGAAAATGTTGGGCGGTCAAAATACAATATACTCATAAGTTGAATGTAACGGAGATGAGGATGTTGAGATGAATGAGTGGCAAGACAATAAGGGTTAGAAGTCGAAATGAATACATTTGGGAAATTTTAAGTGAGGCATCAATATGCGATGAGATGAGAGAGAGTAGACTTAGGTGAGCTAGCCATATGTGACGCAGACCCAATACAACACCCTTTAGGAGGTCTAAGCTAGTTCAAGTGGAAGGCTCAAAAGAGTAACAGTAGGCCCAAAAAGACATGATTAGGAGTAGTGAAAAAAGAAATGAGGACTTATAATCTCACTAAAGGTATGTCCTTTAATAGAGCGGAATGACGAATCTCAATTTGTCTACCCTTAAATGTGGAAAAAATTTAGATAAGGTTGCAACCTTAAAATGTAGAATTACATATGCGCCTAAAAAATCTATCGAAAAATGTTGTTTTAATGTTTAAAAACCCTCTAATTAACGATTTTTGGAGTCTAAAATTTTATAATTAGATATGAAAATAGATTTTAAGATAATCCTAATACTTTTTACACCAATGTTACATATTATGATAAAATTTAGAGATGCGCCTTAATTGGATTGTTTAAGGTTGCAACCTTATAAAAACCACACCCTTTAAATTATAGAAAACAAACAAATGAATACACAAAATTAAATTAAATACTAAGTATAGAATTTTAGAAAAAGAGGAACTCTTTAAAAAAAATAATTGTAACCCACACTATTTTGTGGTGGTTCTTTCATTGTATATATAATAGTAATACAATTGTGTAATATACATTTTTCTATCTTGTTACATGTAATATACATTTTTCTATTTTGTTACATTTAATGATACTTTAAATGGTTTTAGCTCTCGATCAGGTTGTTTGAAAAAAATCAAGCTTATTTAAAGATTAGAGCATATAAAATTACAAAAAGTTGATTTATGGTTAAAATCATAAACTTTTAGATTCTACAAAGAAAATTTATAAAGTTCTCACATCAACACTAATAAATTCATAATAACAAAGGATCTATAGCCAACATACGGAAAAATTACATTATAATAATAATATCAATAATAATCACATTACAAGCATCCAAAAATCAAATTGTAAGCATTGAGAAAAAACAAAAAAACAAAAATTACCAAAAAAATAAAAAAGTTGTGGTTTGTATAGAGCCGAGGTTCTAAACAATCAAAGTAAAGCGTACTTTCAAATAATGTAGAGAAATGTAGTTTCAATATTAGAAATCCTATTTTTATCTTTAATTATAAAATTTAAAGCTTAAAAATAGTGTGGATTGGACAGATCTATAGAAATTTGAAAATCTTAAAAATTGACAGTCCAAAAAATACGTGACAAGGTGCATTATTTCCAAAACTTGAAATCCATTTTTTTTCGTGTCCATGCATCTTGATGTCTAGATGATCAATTTGAGAACTTAAAAACAACTTTTTATGGTGAAATTTTTTAGGTGGGCTCTAATCGATTCTATATAAAGTTCAAAAAAAAAAAGGAAAAAAAAGAAGAGGAAAGCAATAAAAACTAAAAAATGTCTCTTTGTTTCCCATTGAAATAACTCAATACGTTGAGTAAAAATAACTCAATAAGTTGAGTAAAAAACGGTTTAGGCTCGAGAGAAAAGGAAGTGGGGGATTAGGGTTTCAACCGTCCCGTATTTGACCCAATAAAAACGAAGCAGGCGGAAATCGGGTTTAGGTTAGAGAGAAAAGGAAGCAGGAAATTAGGGTTTCAGAGTCTGGGACTGAGAGGGAGAGATTGATAACAATGGCGGCGGCAGCTGCTGCTCGTCCCCTTGTGACTGTGCAAACCCTCGAGGGAGACATGGCCACCGATGGCCAAGCCACTCTGCCTCTCCCGGATGTGATGAAAGCGGTGATTCGCCCCGATATAGTCAACTTCGTTCATGCTCAAATGTCTAAAAACAAGCGCCAGCCCTATGCTGTGAGCACCAAGGCTGGGCACCAGACGTCCGCTGAGTCGTGGGGGACTGGACGGGCCGTCTCACGAATCCCTCGCGTCCCTGGTGGTGGCACCCACCGTGCCGGGCAGGGTGCGTTTGGAAACATGTGTCGGGGCGGTCGAATGTTTGCTCCTACGAAGATCTGGCGAAGATGGCACCGGAAGATTAATATCAATCAGAAGCGTTTTGCTGTTGTGTCGGCTTTGGCGGCGAGCGCTGTGCCGTCATTGGTGTTGGCTCGAGGGCACAGGATTGAGAAAATCCCTGAACTGCCGCTTGTCGTCTCCGACTCTGCTGAGTCCCTTGAAAAGACCTCCTCGGCCCTGAAGCTCTTGAAGAATATTGGTGCTGCCCCTGATGTCGAGAAGGCGAAGAAGTCACATGCCATTAGACCGGGCAAGGGTAAGATGAGGAACCGGCGATATGTTTCTCGAAAGGGCCCTCTCATTGTGTATGGGACTGAGGGCTCGAAGATCGCCAAGGCCTTTCGGAATATTCCGGGTGTTGAGATCTCAAACGTGGAGAGACTCAATCTCTTGAAACTTGCACCTGGTGGTCATCTTGGGAGGTTCATTATTTGGACCAAATCAGCTTTCGAGAAACTTGACTCAGTTTATGGGACTTTTGAGAAGCCTTCGGAGAAGAAGAGGGGCTACATTTTGCCCAGATCAAAGATGGTGAATGCTGATTTATCGAGGATCATTAACTCTGATGAGGTTCAGTCAGTTGTGAGGCCCATCAATAAGGAGGTTAAGAGGAAGCCTCTTAAGAAGAATCCGCTCAAGAATTTGGGAGCAATGCTAAAGCTCAATCCCTATGCTAAGACTGCAAGGAGGATGGCATTGCTTGCAGAGGCTCAACGTGTTAAGGCGAAGCAGGAGAAGCTCGATACGAAGAGGAAGGAGCCACCAAAGGTTAGATCTAGATCGAATTCTTAACTTCTTTTAGATGGAGTGGCTGTATGTATAATATTTTTTTGTAGTCTTTTTAGTTTCTGTTTGCTTTATCAGTTTTGTTTTGTTTTTTTGTTTTTTGTGTACTTATGCTGGTTCGATCTGGATTTTTTATTTCTACTTGTTTTGGATTGGTTGTGTGATATCTAGCTTTATTTCTCTGTGGAATGCTTAGCTTTAATGTGTTCTCTTTTTATTACGTTTGATTTTTTTGAATTTTCCTTGTTTCATAGTTCTAGATTTACATTTTCTTTCTTTAGAGTTGTTATCCACTATTTAGGCCAAAATACCCCTCTCTTTGCCTTATACCCAAGCTTTGGTAGTGCCTGTCGAGCACAAAACACTGCCAGACTGGCTTTTTCCAGCACTGTTTGGTCAGGTGCATTTTGGTATCAGTCTGGCATATCGTTTGTTGGTCTGATACATTTTTTGTTGGTCCAATACATTTTTGTTGGTCCGATACATTATTGTTGGTCCGACACATTTTGGTGTCAGTCCGGCAGCCGGACTGGCACTATGAAATCAATGAGCAGGACCGGTCCGGCACAAAAAAAAAAACAAACAATTGGTGTTGTAAACATGGGTCAAATTGGGGATTTTAGGTCTATAAAAATCACCATTTTTAATTGGAGGTAGTTGCAATGGAAAACAGTGTTGGGGTTTTATTAGTGATTTAAAAAAGGCTTTGGGGGAGGATGTTAAGAAACATGAGTGGGGGGTTCTAATAATTTTTCCTTAAATTTACTTTTGTAAGATTCAGTTGTTGTTAGTTAACACTCCCTCAAAAAAAAGATTCAGTTGGTGTTTCTTCTTGCTGAGTAGGTATCTATGTTTTTATTCCATATGAAGTTGATAGTTGATGTTCACGGTTCTCCATTGTTTTCTTCATTTTTTTTGTTAACTAGGTTTATTATACTTAGGTTGTTTAGATTCTTCATTCTTTAGAGGTTATCCATGCTTTTCTTTCTTCTTTTAATGTATATCTAATAATTATGGTTTAAACTTGTTTATTAATTTATTTTACTACTATTTATCCTGATAATATATATTTTCCTTGAGAATGTATCTGTATTAGGTTGTGCATTTATATGCTGTTTCTGGTTTTATTTGCTAGGTTTCCCTTGTGAATTCATGATTGTAAGTTTTTTTGTTCTTCTGTAAGGGTTAGTATCTGATAGTTAAGATTGCATCTGGTGTTTTTTACATCTTTTTTGTTGATTAAGGCTTGCTTTTCACATTTGTGGTGGAATTGCTTGTTGCTATTATGAGTTTCTATTTACTAAAGCACTAATTTTATTTTCAGAGATGATGTCATAAAATCCACAGGCCTGTAGAAAAAATGTAGTCCTGAGAGCCATCACTTATCCATTGAAATGATGGATAGTGATGGAGGGAGTTTAGGATTGACAAGAACAAATCCTGTCCACTGGCAGTGTGTCATGCTAACCCTCAATCACTGTCCCCCATTTCATTGGACACTATCCTAAGGGGACTGTTTTCCATGGTCCTTAGGTTTGAATAATGGTATGATTTGTTAGGGCCGTATTTTCACAGTCCTTTGGGTTGGGTCGCAAACTCGTTCAACCTAAAGGATTATTTTCCATATTCTTTATTATAGATTGGGTTTATGTGGATTCTTTGTTTTAAATTATAGTTTCAGTTTCCCATGTTATATTTTGCTATTATGTAGCCTGGTTTTGCTAGTGCTTTTGTTTCATGTGCTTAGATTATTTTCCAATAAATAATGTTTGTATTGATAATGCTACAGTTTGTTTTGTGTTCATTTGTTTTTTATTTATTTTGCACATTTTACCAGTATTTAAAGCTGTTTCACTGATATCAGATGAAATTGGTTTTCAAGGTCTCTTCATGTCGAAATCATTTATCTGTGATGTCTATTACTATCCCCCCTGTATTGTTTCATGCTCATTTTTTTTTTACTTTTTAGCATTTTAACTGGTCAATTATGTGCTGTTATATAGTATTTATTTTCTTAATTAGATTGGTCTCTTTGGTGGGAAATGAGCATATGCGATACAATTTGTTTGAATTAGCTGGTGCCTGTTGCATAGTTTCAGTGTTCACTTTAGAATTCTTTAGTGAGCTTTGTTCAACATTATTGCTTGGAATTTGGTCATAGACCTGCATCTGTATGAACTAGTTGGGAAGAGAAAATATGAATCAGAATTTTGAATGCCTGTCCTTGTCGCTGTTGCGTGTGTGGGTTATGGGATCTATCTACATATTTTTATATGCTTGGCTCCAACAATGCCATTTTATGAATATTATATTTTTGCTTTTGCATGGGAGGCTAACGCTTGAGATATCTTGTTGTTAGTACATCTGCATGGTCCATTCAAATCCTTATAAGAATCACAAAAACGTTGTTTTCTTGTATGTGGAGTTGCCATGGTAATTTTTGCAAGAAGAGTGAGCTTAGCTGTAATCTAATGTGCTTTAGTTGATCACATCTCATGCTTTCTTATTCTAATTTGCCTAAAGAGTAAATTACTCAATTCACAGGGTGTGGTATGGATGCTTCTCTTTATATATATAGAAATGGATCTTTTGGCATGCTCAGTTGTTATTCGCTTGCATTATATGCGTTCCTGTACAGATTTTTTTTTTTGGTGAGTCAATGGGGAGAGGGTCCCTATCCTTGATAGGAATTGAGCCTAAAACGTAGCGTTGGTAGTGGAAGTATGTGGTTTATTATGATGCTGTCTGTTTAGGATTGATGAGATTGATTTTTACGGAGGTATTCTGTGTAAACAAATATTATCAGATTCTCTTTGCTTCAGCTGAAGAGGTGGAAGTCTTCGGATTTTGGCCTTGACCAAAGTGAAGCAAAGCTCCGGCATTTCCGCTTCGACTTACTTCAGGCCATTTCGGCTCGCTTTGGTCTGATTCAGCCTCTTTGGCTGAAGCACATAATTGTCTTTTGAAGGCAGTTCTATGCATTGGCCCTCTTCGACCTGATTTGGCTGAAGCTTCGGCCGCTACGACTAAAGCATAGAATTGTCCCTTTTTTTTAAAATTATTTTTTATTTTTTGAATTTTTATTTTCAAATTTTTATTATTTTAAATATATATAAATTTATACTTTATTTATATTAAAATGATTTAAAAATTCTGAAGTCTTCCTCCGAATCGGCCAAAGCACTGAATTGCTTTGTTTTTCCAACCAAACCGAAGAGGGCTCTGAAGCAAATCTGACAACACTGGTGTAAACCTGTTCCATTATGAAAACTATGAAGATGCTTTGGTAAGGACGATGGGATCCCAAGCTGGTGAATTTCTTATTTTGAGATTCACATGGCTTGGCTTGCTTGGAAGAGGAAAACTACTCTATGTTATGTTACTTGATCTCTTAGCAAAATAGCAAATGACATTCCAGTTCATCTCATATAAAGTCAATAGTTGAACAAATTAGATTAAGAACCCCGCCTTGCCTTTATAGTGTTCCTAGTTCTCATAGTGGGAAGTATCCAGAATAGCAAAATTTCCCTCCAGGATCCTTTTTTTTGGGGGGGAGGGGAGGGAGTTAGTGCAACGGTTGAAATTTAACTTGAGATGCGGCTTTGCTAATGTTAACTGCTAAATGCTCAACTTCAAGCCAATTATGACGGCAATAATGTGAATGCACAAATCCATGTTGGCGCATATGGCAGTTGACTTAGCGACTGGTGCTCCAACAGTCTGCTTTCCAAGTAGTAAAACAAAGTGCCCAGCAATCTTTGTTACTTTTGGTCCTTATGTGGTTTTCTTTTTATGAAAGAAGTCATGGTCTTATTGCAGCGGTAGACATTTAACTTGAGATGCGGCTTTGCTAATGTTAACTGCTAAATGCTCAAGTTCAAGCCAGTTATGACGGTAATAATGTGAATACACATATCCATGTTGGCCACACATGGTAGTTGATTTAGCGACTGGTACTCCAACAGTCTGCTTTCCAAGTTGTAAACCAGAGTGCCCAGCATTCTTTGTTACTTTTGGTCCTCGAATTTTTCTTTGGCTTTCTTTTTGTGACATAAGTCATGGTCTTTGCCACGGTTTGGAGGAGGTAATTGAAATGTTATTTGTGCTGAACTTTCAAGCACTTTCAAGGTTGAATTGCACTGTTTATCTCTTTACTGGGATCTGGGTTGCGAATGTAAAATGCTAAATGATTGGAGGCTTGGAGCTAGTATTAAATTTCTCTTTAGTGCAAATCTTTGTTATGGAAGTGAATTAATGATAGTGGTTTGGGATATAAATGACTCTGTGCCTTTTGGAATGTTTCTTTTGGCCTGAGAGGTTAGAACATTATTTTTGGATTGTTTGTCTTTGTATGGTCCGAATCACGTCTTAAATAAATGTATTTATGTGAAACATGTGTAGAAAGCAAAAGACAATACAAATTTATGCTCCTTGGAAGCTTATATTGTAAATCTTGATGCAAATTTATGCCTGCCCTATTTCCTTAGTTGGGTCTCTTGATCTGGACACGTATCAAGAAAAGAATGGGTTGTAAAGATACTTACTCGACACTTGAAGATGCAAAACTAGCGAAAGATACATCCATAAAAGTGATTTGTACTTGGAAGATTATTTTATGGCCATCTTATGCGAATGCAATTTGAACTTGAGAACTCCAAGATGTGTATACTTTGGTTTCGCACCCATAAACATATGATAGGAGAAGTATTGGATGATTGGATGCAGAAATTCCAGTTATATTGTCATGTTTTTAGTGGTCACATTTTTCTTCTGGATCTTGTTTGTTGATGGATTGTGTAATGAGGCACTGGGTGATCATCTTGTTTTCTTGATGTCTTGTCACCTCCAAAGTGTGTGTGTGCGTGTGTGTGGGTGGGTGGGGGCGGGAGCAGGAGCAGGGGGAGTTGGGTACATGTGAGAACTAAGGTTTAGAGCAGATAAGGTGTATCGCAGTTGGCTGATCTATGGATAAGTTAAGAACTTGTATACTTAAGTGAGATTTGACAAAGTGGACAACTAAATGGATCCGTTATACTCATGGATAATTAAGGACTTAATCGGTGTAGGAAATTGAGTTCCCTGAGGATGGATGAAATGGGACAGCAGGATAGGGTTCCAGGTTATATTAATAGAATTGATTTAATATGTTTTATGGCCTTACTAAGGATATGGCCTTTAATAGAGCAGAATGGAGAACCATGATTCATGTAGCCGACTCCAATTAATTGGAAAAAAGGCTAAAACAATAATAATGATGATGATAAAATATGTTTTATGAAATTGGATTTAAAGTAATCCTCAAAAGAGAAAAAAACAATTTGAAGTAAAGGATTTAGCAACCATAGAGTCATATTCCCTACTGCAGATGTTTTGACATCCAGAAGTATCCGTCAAATAGGTGCATCAGAAAGTGATTCAGTTGCTCCTGCTATTACGGTAGCTGTATCCATATTAAAAGGACCTGTTGGGTGTGCAATTACATTCTTTGTACTCATCAAATAAAAAGCTACATGGCTATCAGGACATTGACCATATGACTGCTTCTTCTCTTCCACTGCATAGGCCACTTGTCAAGTTGGCTTCTTAGAACTAGTGGAACTTCATGTGCCATGGAGAAATCACATTTGATTGACCGCATACTTATCCCTGGCGAATGGATGCTAGACCCGCATTCCTGGCTGATTTTATTGTTGGTACGGCACTATCATTTGCTTTGTCAACCACAATGACCTTCCTGTTAATCTTGACCTTCCTGTTAATCTTGGTGAAGTCACTGGTTTTTTATTTTTGTATGTGGGTTGTAGACAATTTACCTGGTTATGGTTGTTCTCCACTGTCCACCATTTGTAAGCAATGGTGGACGTCCCTTTAATGTACCATTAACTATGTAATATTGCTGGTGGATATCCCCATGTTAACTATGTGATATTATTGAATGATTGTAGTTTCAAACTCAAGATGCCTGACAAATGTGGTTTAGACAAGTTATTTTTTCTTTTAATATTTTTTTGTTTTTTAAAGGACATTCCATCAAATCTTGGATTTTCACCTACTTGAGTATTTAGTCAAATTTGCTCTGAGTAATGACCATGTCACACTTTAGCAGTTTGTGCGTAGAAATGTATGTTATCAACATAATTGAATGAGACACATGCTATATGTTAAGATTGTATGTTATCAACATAATTGAATGAGACACATGCTATATGTTAAGATTATCTTTCTTTCTTTGTAGTTAATGCCACGTTCTTTTCTTGTCTGATATGGTTTGATAATAAAACATTGTTGGAAATCAGGAGAATGCGGCTGCGATCAAAGCAGCAGGGAAAGCATGGTACCAGATGATGGTTTCTGACAGTGATTACACTGAGTTTGAGAACTTTTCCAAGTGGCTTGGAGTTAGTCAGTGAGGGAAGAAAAACTCTTTTGGAGACTCTTGATTTTTCTTTGAAGTTCTTAAGAGTTAATTAATGTGTGGTTTCCTCATATTTTGTTGTGGGTTTCAGACAGTTATTTGTGCTCTTTCCAAGGAGTAGGACGATTTATAGTTTAAGGTCTACCGAGACCTTGGTTTTGCACTTAGACCATTAATTGCTTTCGAATCTGAGAATTATGGCTGAGAAACTAACATTAGGGATTCGTTATCCGGGTTCTGATAAATATAAATTTTGCTTGGTATGTATAGTTTCCATTGAAACGAGATGTGGAATTATTCGCTGGAGGTCATGGATGCTTGCATGCTGGTAGCTGTACATTTCTCATGATTTATTTAGTCTTTGTGCTGCTTTCAATTCTTTCCCTAAAAACGTCCTCTTGTGAAGGGTTTTGAGATTATTTATGGGATGGTATACAATGAGAGCATTTACTATTAGTACAAAGAATTCACAATTACATATATAACCATTCGATGTGAAATCTGTTAGCTTGAGTGAATCAAAAAGTTCGAGAATTTTTTTTTCAACTTTGAGTTTGGCCAATGAAATAAATACAACCACCCAATTTCAAATTTAAAGGTTCAGAATAATTTTGACCACTTTATATCAAAGATAAAAAGTCTCATTTTATATTTTTCCTTCATTTATCTGCTTGTCTCCCATTCAGAGAACAAGATGAAAGTTTTCTTACAAATACTTTGCGGTGGATGTATCATAAGTATTTTTTCGAAGGAATCAAGACCGTGCTGGTTTGGTTCTGTTGCGTCTTCTTTGGTGGTTTGTCCAATACGTGGGTGCTTAATCTTTCTTGCCTAACTAAGCAGGGCGCATTATATAGGCATCACTTTTGGTATAAAGAAGTACGTGTTAAATTTGACAACTGGGGGTGTGCCACAAAGTTGAAGTTTAGCAAAGCTAAACCCGTGTTTGGTTCTAGTTCCACGATATGCTGTTTTATGAGGTTTAACTAGAATTCTTTATTGATTGATCCGTCATGGATCAATTCCTCTTTTATTTGGAAGTATTGAATAGATCCAGAATTTTGAGCTTCACTCGATGTTACGTCTCAAGTGTTCAAATAATAGTTTTAAGTAATTTGTTATTATACCAAATAATAGCTTTTAAGTAATTTGTTGCTAGGTATGATTGATATATTTGCTCAGTGATTGGATAGATGTCGATATGTTATGAGAATCATCCATACTATGTTGATTTTTTTAGCTATGTTGATTTTTAGGTAGAATCGTCGATTCCCTTGCAAATAGAAGGGTAAATAATAATTATACTTGAAATTTATACAAGAAGAGCTGCCACAAACAAAAAAAAATGTTTTTTTTGTATCCATCACTGTTTGCGGTCATTTTTTTTCTTGGAGTTTGCTGGACCGTTGTTTCACCCGATTGGACTGATCTTTATTTTAGTGAGAGAGAAAAAGAGACATTGAAACTCTAGGCCTAATCATCCCTCGAATGGACTGACGGTCCAAAGTCAATTTTTGAGGGGGCTTTGGTTGGGAGGATCTTTTTCAAGTCTAAATTAATTTTAGTTTTAAAACGATACTAAGAATGATTGAAGAAAGTTGGAAAATGTGCGGATGAAGGACTCTCTCACTACGTATTTTGATATAAAAACGATGTGTTATGGGTCTTGGGATTATCTCACTTTAATAATCCCTCAAAATACAATTGTTTAAGTTAAGAGGAAGTTGAAAATGATAGATTCCTCATAAACTACCCCGAGACAAGAATGTTGTTATATTACAGGAAAAGGGTATTAAGTATACAAAATGTTGGGTACATTAAAGAAGTACTCAATGCACAGGGATATTTTAACAAAATCCTTCTACCTTCATGAAGATTCAAAAGAAATTTAGTAAACAAGGGTTATATCCTTAATCATATCATAGGTTACCATATTTCTTCTCAGTACTTCTATTTGAGTTTTTTATTATGAACTTTATTTTTTCTTGTCTTGTCACTCATCCATCTCAACATCCTCATCTCAACCGCACTTTTATGTAAATATGTTATTTTTTTACTGCCCAAGATTTTGTTCCATAAAACATTGTTGGTCTAATAGCCGTCCTATAAAACTTTCCTTTCAGTTGTATTGGTGTGTGATGATCACATAAAACTCTGAAAGCATATATCCACTTCGTCTTTTCAGCTCTAAATCTATAGGCAATATCTTTCTCAATCTTTCCATTATCATAGATTATTGATGCAAGGCATCGAAAATAATATCTTTTAAGTACTTGGTCATCAATCTTAACTAATTTCTCGTTTCTACTCATTATTATTAAACTTGCATTTTATATATTTTGTTTTATCTTGTTAATTTTAAAACAAGATTCTAGACCATCCTTCAAAGTTCTAACTTCATGTTGATGCCTTCTCTAGTCTCACCAATCAAAATTGTCATATACAAACAACATACACTATTATACCTCATCTTGTAAATGCCTAGTTAACTTATCATTCTAAATGTAAAGATAAGAGATCAATAATAACCCCTAAAGTAGGTCTGTTGTCACTGAAAACTCACTTCTTTCCACTATTTGCCCTCACACTAGTTAGAGATCTGTCGCGCATGTCTTTCACCATGTCAATATGTCTTCTAGAGGCTACTTTCTTTTCCAACATTCACCATATTAACTCCTAGTTACCTTATAATATGCCTTCCCTAAATCAATAAAAACCATGTGGAAGTCTTTTCTCTTCTCCCTTTAACTTCTCAATCAATTGTTCAAGTAGGAAAATAATGACCTTCCTATATAAAACCGAACTAATTTTGTGAAACACTCATTTTATGTTGTAGTCGTTCAAATACTTTTACGGTTTCAAAATGTAGCTCATAAGTTTGATCCCTCAATACTTCTTACAATTCGCATCTTGTTTGTTCTTGTAAATAAATACCAGAATACCTTTTTTCCATTCTTAAGCCATTTTCTTTGTTCTCATAATCTTATTAGACAACTTCAACCAAGATTTGACAATCTCTCCTAGGCACAAAAGGCAAAGTATCGCAAGTTGAAATTTATGGGATAAATCCAAATTTCGTAAAGGAGGTAAAGAGACAATAATGACATTCTGTTGGTGAACCATATGGCGTTTTGACTGTATCCTAAACTTTAATCATTAAAAAGCCTTCAATATATCATTTTACACTCTGAAATTACTGGAATAGAATTTAACCAGTTCCATTCCTAGATTCATCAACCACACCTAAAAAGAGAAATCAGATAGAACCAAGCAATTTCGTACAACGAAATGAGGAAAGAGAAAAGGTGATTTCGTATAACAAAAGAGAGAAAATCCGACTGTAGTAACAACTCTATCACACAATCAAATGACATGTTTATGCAATGAATAGTTAAGTCCCTGTCCTGTAACATTGAATAGCCCTCTTCTTTTGGGACATAAAATGACTGCTTAAACCACCTGTTTATGGGGCTAAACACAAGCTTCTCTGCATTATTCCAAGTAAAATACAAGTGATGATGGGAAACACTAGCATGACAGCTCTATATGTGCCACTTATACGAAGGCAGCTCAGCCAAATATACAGAGGTTGGAATCATGAGAACTCGTACTCCCTTCATGTGTATACAAAAGGACCAGGAAAGGGGGGCCAAAGTCCGGTACACAACCTTCTTAGAGTCTTCTTTCAGCGACCTCCACTAGGCAGGGATTTGTGACTGTGGATCCATGGAATTTCTTGAGCTTTAATGGCCATTAATGTCTTTCTCAAGAACTGCTGGGTTGAGATGCTCCTCATCATGAGTCTTAGCATCACCAGGCTCCTCGGTATTGCTTGGCTTTCCCTGAAAAAAAGGAGATATTTGGGAACACAATTTTGCGAAATCTACTTGGCAACATAGGAGAAACATCTTAAGCACCCACAATTATTCACAAATGATTCTTAATTGATTTAATGTGCAGCAAATTAAAAAGTAATATGTTTGGCAGTCCGAGGAAATTATAAAATGCTGCTGGTTTTCTTCCAGAGAAAATGGCCATGTTGGCCCCTCTTCGGATGAGAATGCACAAAAAGATTTTTTCACTAGATGATGCATTTGAAGTCCCCAGCAAATTAATACCCTTTGTCAAACAGTTGCAAATGTAAGTCTTGTTGCTGACAATGGATATTAAGTCTTGTTGCCATCAATGGATATCACGGAAGGAGTACTGTAATCCACTGGATTGTTGTCAGACTACAAACTTATGGTGCATAGAAGACAGCATGGAATTTATTTCTTCAGTATGTGTACAAATTTGCATTATGCAGAATGGTGTAAAGCAGGGATTTAAAAGTCGGCGAGTCAACCTGGAATTGGCTGGGTCGACACGGGAATCAGCACCCCCGTGCTGATTCCTGCGCAATATCGGAAATCGAGTGAGTCTAGAGAGGAATTGCCAGTTCTCGGCGATTTGCAACAGTAAATCAGTCTATTTTCGGCAATTTGAAACAGTAAATCGGTCTAGACTCGCCCGTTCTTCTTGGCGATTTGCAACAGTAAATCGGTCTAGACTCGCCGGTTTTCGGTGATTTGCAACAGTAAATTGGGCGAGTGGACATGTGGCGGCGATTTGCAACAGTAAATTGGGCGAGTGGACACATGGCGGCGATTTGCAAAAGTAAATCGGGCAAGTGGACACATGGCAGCCCAGGGGAGCAACACGTAGCACAGCTTACACGTGGCAGAACCTCACGCCTACCGAAATGCAACTTCGCATGGTACCTCGCCCCTGTGCTTTCATGCGCACACAATGCATTCTATTCCACAGCTATTTATAGAGCAACATCTTACACTTGTCCTTCGATGTGGGACTAATATAAGAGTTGAGGCGGTAATCTAATATATACATTTATTATGGAAGGAAAAGCATCATGCAACGATGTGGTGCAGTTGGTTAGCTCTCTTGATTTCAGCATACGTGTCTCAAGTTCGAAACCCCCTGTGCGCCATTTAGAGCTTTATTTTTATTTTTTTTAAATTATAGAAGGAAAAAATAGTGTTGCAAAAAAAAATAAAAGAAAAAAATAAAAAATAAAAGGTAATACAAGCATTTCTTATTAAAAAAATAATACAACATATTTTTATTTTTGTTGTCAAAAAAAGAAAAGAAAAAGTAATATAACAGATATTTTTTGCCAAAAATAAAACAAAAGGTAATACAACAAAAAAAAAATTTAGTACAACATATTATTTTTTTTGTCAAAAAATAAATAAAAAGTAATACAAGTATCATATTTTCCTAGTGTAAAAAAAAAAGGTAATACAACAAATATTTATTGTCCACAAAAATAAAAGGCATTTATTAATACAACAAATATTTCTTAATACAACCTAAGAATAAATGATGTAATTATATTTTTTATTTTTATTAACATGGTGATCTTTAACATAAATTTAGGAATATTAATTTAAAGATAGGAATCATACAATAAGACCATTTGAAATCTCTCTCTACTAAAAATCTCTTCCACTAAATTTATTCTAAAAACCTAAAAAATTAAATTTTTTAAAAATTAAAGTGTTATTTCAAAAATTGATACGCATTCTAATAATTTCTACATTAATAACCAAATCTTTTATTTTATTTATTAATTTATTTACATTATAAATCATGTAATGTACTATTTTTCTTACAATTATCAATAATATATTTTATGATACTATAAGATATTTTGGATTTGTTATTAGTTGTATAATAAAATAATTATAAATGTAAACCAACAATTTTAATTTCAGTATATAATATTATAGTTAGGTTGTAATAATTTTGGATTATAGTTAGTTAAATTGTAATAATTTGGGTTTTTTTAACGGATTAGGGTTTTCTACCAATTTAAGATTTTAGTGGCCATTTTTCATCGATTTAATCCATTCTTTTTTGTAGTCCATGTATGATTATATACTTCATCCATATAATTCTATGATTTTTTTTTTGTGTGATGCAAATTTAATGGTTAATATAAGTTCATACAGGGAAATAACATCTCAATATTCGTAAATTGATGAAAAAAATGAAAGTTAATAATGTAGTACGTACATTTCTTATTGCATTTCTAAAAAACAACATTTATAATGAATTTTAATAATTTTTTTGGATTTTTTTTAAAGCTTAATTCGACCGATTCAGCCGATTCCCGATCCGGATCACCGATTCACTGATCCGGATGGGTTTTTGAGGTGCCCAATCCGGAGCACCGATCCATTTTTTAAACCATTGGTGTAAAGTATGGGTATCCATTCTTGGACAAGTGGTTGGAATTTGCATTATCCAGAATAGTAGAAGGTTTTTATTCAAGGAAAACAGTGTTGGAATTTGCAGTTGTACATAGCGCCAAGTTGTTCGTGGTCACTCCCAACAACGCTTTCATGAGCGAGGGATCTAGTTTTCTCTACAGGATATGCCCTCATAATCAAATACTTCGACCATTTCTAAAATGTCAAGGTAATGGCCAATATGTCTATTACTTAATTAAGCCAACGGCCACTCTCCTCATGCTATGAAAATCAATTTCTTTGAATTCCTCATAAAAATTATTTGAGAGATCGCAGAATGTTTTACCTTATTTCTCTCACGCCACCCGAGTCCAAAGGGTCTTGATAGCAAACCCGGTTTTCTAGCAGGGATTTCTTGCATGGTTTCGTGACTAGTCCTCAACGGTGTGGTTTCCTGAGAGGCAGATCTGTACGATCATAAATTTAATGTTAGACATGGTATATACTATATAATTTTGAAAATCCTAACGATCTTCAATGGAATCTAATGTGTAAATCAATTTCATGGATTAAAGTTTGATCATCTTCTCTCCACTTTTACAATGGAATGGAACCATTTACAGAGAAAACTATGGCATGCTAGTAAAACCATGTAAACAGTGTAAACCCAACTAGTGCCTATCCATGGAAAATTAAAAAAGAGGTGTGCATGAAAATATAAGTACAGGATGCACAGTTACATTGGTTTCAAGTTCTGGTAAAAGAAAAGAGACAGAAGTACCTTGGAGATGGAGATGGTATTTGTGCTTTTACTTGGCTGGATTGATATTGCAATGTGGCCTCCAACATGCTTTCTGCCATGACCACCCTCTTTTCCATTTGTGCGAGGGAAGCCATGGCCTCTTCATACTTTTCCTGTATGAAAGAACAAAAAGCAGCAAATAAGGAGTCACGCATGGCCTTGAAGGTTTTCACAAAGCTGATCAGGAATAAAACTCTAGGGAAATTAATTTGATCTCAGTAACATAGGTGAGACCATACTGAGAAACAATAAATGGAGCTCATTTTCTTTGGTTGGTGGGAAACCATTAAGCACAATTGTTAGGAGGAGAAGAAAGTACCTGAAGCACATTAGCAGCGTATCTTTGGGCAGCTGCATCTTGCTCTGCAAATCTTCGAGCATCTTCAGTTACCCTCTGTTCTTGCTCTACTCTCATCAAGACCTAATTGGTTGTACATGAACATAAGTCAGTAGACAATTAGCATGAAGGAAAAGAAGCAAGCTAGAAAACCTATGCAGAATATGAAGATAAGCATTAAACCTGAATCATAGCATGCTCTTGTTCCTGCTTGTCGGCAAGAGCTTGCCTCAACTCCGCCACCTCTTGCTCCAACTGCTCGACCTATAGATTGATTGATATTGAATAAGGGGTTCAAAAGAGGAATTAGGTCGTCCATGTGTGTATCAAAAATGAGTATTGAAAATAGGTCACTATATCACAAGAACATAAAAAACAAGCGAAGCAATAAATAAATTGACCTGTTCCTTTCAAGATTAATATATTAGACAATTTGAAATCAAAACTCTATTCTGTAACCAAGGACGATTACATTACAGTTTCTTGATTCCATAAACACAATCAAAACTGTTTCTAGAACTATAAAAAAATAAGACCATAACTTAATATTGTGAAGTCAAAACAAATTATGTGCTTCATTCACTAAACAGCCTCAATAGAAGTGTATATACCAAGAGCAGGAATGAGCTCAATACCCTTGTGATCATAAAGAACAACAGTACTATTACATGTCTACAGGCACAAAAGTGCTCATCAACACTCAAAGGACTGAAAGGAAGTCTCAGGTCTTGCCTAGATGCGTGTAAATTGACTTGGTGGTCATATATTTTTGGGAAATTTATCCTAATGCACCTTAGAGATGTACTATTATAAAATTAACCAGATCTTTTGATTTAATGCCAAAACTCCCATCAAAATACACATGACCATGAGTTGGAATACTTGAAAAAGGTTCAAATGTTAAATAGTTGATAAATTAGGTGAATTTTCATAAAATTTCTCTATATTTATTGGATAAGTCAGCAGCAGGAATTTTACCCAGGAAATAGCATTGCATAGGTCAACAGCTAACCAATTAACCCGAGACCTAATCCCTAACTCGGTGGTCATATAAGCTAAAGCCGTTTGATGCTGTGCTTTTTGTCACCAACATCAAGAATGTTCGGCCATTTTTGTGTCCAAAAGATAACACGTATTCGTAATTCAGCCGTTTCTCTCAAAAAAGCATTTGCATCCATTGCAGACAACCCTGCCTTATGTGCCGGCTCACATGCACATCCAGACAAGGCCTTGGTTTTCTCACTCAATAATTATATCCATCTCAGTCAATATCTTGGCAAAACAAATTTACTACTTAACCTCAACAAGTAATAGAAGTGGCAGTCCATGTCAATGAGCTTCTCCACATCATGGAACAAATGATTAGAAGCAATACAAAATATCACTCATGTCATCTCGTAGGAAATGGGCAAGAGATGAACTCTGTATTATATGATTGTAGCACCTAAAACAACATCTCATTGTCGGTAATGGACCACCACAGACTCTGCCTCTTCATTCGACTTAGACCCAGTGTACTGCTTTCTACTTTGCCAAATGCCAACATATAAGAGACATTGACAAAAAAAATAGAATTTAGTCATAGGCTGCCATTATCTGTACAGGCTTCACAGGATGAAATTTCAAATACAGAAAGCTAGCAGTTAGACGTCACAGAAGGATGATGAAATACATCACCAATTGGTGGTATAATGTATCAACTAAAAAGAACAACCACGTAAAGTTCCAAGATAGTGTAAAACTGAATCCTTAGACTGCAAATGATATGTTTGGACAAGTAATGGCTAGTTATAGAAGTCTGCCAAAGAAGCACATACTTGCAGACAAATTTGGAAGATCACTATCATATGCTGACTACTAAACATTGAGTGTGGTGGTGCACAATCATCCTATTATCTAAAAGATGGACAGCCCCAGAAATAAGCTGTTTCACAACATTGTTCAGTAACAATGATGCATCTATAGGAGAAAATGAATATTTAGACTGCAAAAGATATGTTTGGACAAGTAATAGCTAGATATAGAAGTCCACCGAAGAAGTATATACTTGCAGACAAATTTGGAAGATCACTATCATATGCTGACTACTAAACATTGGGCGTGGTGGTGCACAATTATCCTATTATCAAAAAGATGGACAGCCCCAGAAATAAGCTGTGTCATAATGTTGTTCAGTAACAATGATGCCTCTATAGGAGAAAATGAATCTCATGTTCTAGGAAAATGATGATATAATCATAATCTTCATCTGACAAGCCTTACCATTAACTTGTAATCATATCTGCAAACCAAAAGTACAGTAATTTAATTAGCAGAATGCCTGATTGCAACATAAACAAGGGTCTATGACAAACCATCACCATTGGTAAGGAAACCTATGACAAGGAAAACCAATGGCGCTCATCAAAGATAGAGAATGGGGGGAGAGTTTCTATTTATATAGTCATCAAGAGTTCTAGTCCTTGTAAAAAGTATTTTGAGTGAACAAAAGAGATGATAATCATATCTCTATAGTTTATATCTAAGAAAACTAAAAAAACTGCATATATACTTTAAATAATTACGACTATTTAACCCACAAAAGAAATGAATTCGTTCTTTTTGAGAGAAATTCACTATATTAATATTCATAAGCATAGGGTTACAAAAGGAGGTGAGCGAAATGGTCACACAGAGAAAGCCCACAAAGGGGCGAAAAGTAAAAAGAAATGAATTCGTTAGGAATTCAGTAATTAAGAGCGCCAAAAGCAACTTGTTTTCTTTCTACGCAAGGAATTTTAACAGCCAATACAAAAAAGAGAAAAAGGCACCGTAGCAGGTCTAAATTCATGGACATACCTTTGCACTAAGAAGACGCCTGTTATCCTGCTTCACCATTTCCATCAGTGCGGTCTCCAACTCTTCAGCCCTGTCAAGTACAAATAGCCCCAAATAGAAAACTTAAGCCCATGATGTGAGCAACATCTAACAATGCCACACAAAAGCACTGTAATGAACAAAAAGTACCAAGCAAAAAGACTCTTGAGTGAGGTGCTTAAGATTTATAATATGAAAAAGTTGCTCACTATTTCCTCCCCAAAAGAGAAAGTATTTATAACATGATAAAGAAAAAGGGCGGATCAGCATGATTAGTCATTTCTGGAACAAATCAATATATCTACCACTAAGCCCATGCCTAAGGAACAAAACTGTAAATCACTGCATTAGCAAACTCAAGCAGGTCCACACAAACTAGCCCGAGATGCTAGGGCTTGGCAGGGTGCTGAACCTGTAATCATCCAACTCAGGAGGGTATATCATAAGCTTACAGTTTGTGCGCAAGTTAATGTTGCGATTCACCTGAACAAAACTCGCTGAGTTTTAGAGTGACTCAGTAAGTCACTTGAAACAAAAACTCAGAATATAAACGGTGACAGAAATCATCCCCCGCCCAAAACTGGTCATTTGCATGATCTATCAACTAGAAAAGATTTGAGAAAAATCATCAGTTTTTATGGATTTGAAATATCAAAGAAATGCTGCAATGTTTTTGCAGCGGTTGGTTGATCCCCGATGAAAATCCTTCTCTAAGCCTGTTTTGGGGTTTCGTGTCAAATAATAGACTTATTTCTCACAAAGAAACAAGAAAAATCTCTGATTTGCGAGATTTATTTTGGATTTATTATTCACCCCAAATTTTCAAAATCTTGGATCAACTAGATCCGAAGTCAAAACCCAAACCTAATTTGGGCCTTCAATCTTAGGTATCTGAGAAAGCTTTGACAAGGATTGGACGCAACAATTCGTGCCGAGCACATAGATTGGAATTGGCCTCGAAACTTTGGGTAAATTTCATTTTTATCTGTAAAAAATTCTTTTATATATGGTTTATATGTTTTTTATATTCGTGATTTTAATTTTTCATGTTGTATAATAATCTAATGAGTCGATGTTTTTTTGAACATGGGGTTGAACCTGAGTCCCAAGTACTCAACCAGAGTTTCCAAACAATTAAAACAAGGGATCAAGGCAAATGCCACAAAGTGTAACATGTATTGAAACTCAAAAGGAAGAGAGAACTTTTAAAGCAGTAATGATATTTTTCTGAAAGAATGATCTTTTAATTTCACCACAGCATGATCTTTTAATTTCACCACAGCATGAGATTTATTGCTAGCTCGACCTAGAATTAAAGTACCTTTTTTATTTTAGAGCAGCACCACACATTATCCATGGTCCAACCTTCAATTAAACAAAGAACTCAAAGCAGCACCTGGGAAATTTGGGGTATTGCCTAAGGAAGAAAAGGGCCACCTGAGTCAAATGAGTTGGTCAAGAGTTTTCTGTAATCTTATATGTGTTACCAAGTCTCTCGAAGAAGCTACTTGCATAAACTTGTTGCTCAGCTTCTCATCAAGCCAAGACAACTTGGGTGAATCCAAATCTTAGTGCAACTATGAAGATATCTAAGTTCCAAACACGATCAAATTGGTTGGCATTTTTATGGAGAAAACAATATCGGCACAGAGTACAGTTTCAGAAGCTCAATCAGAGTAAACTCTAGAAAAAAAGGTCCAGCTTTCTTTTTGTCAATACTGCAAGGATTGTGGGAAGACAAAAATATGTAAGAGAAAAAACAATAATAGATGTAATAAATGATAATACATTCCAATGACGAGCATAAAAGTCAAATAACAGAGATTGCGAGATGCAAAAGACATATGGCCATTATGAATATGTGAATGTCTTGTATAGATCACCATAACCAATTATTAAGCATCTATCTTTTTACCAGCTAATAAGGCATCACTTTCATTAATTCCAGAACCATCCTGAAGATATATAGTGGAAGGGATTTACTTAAATAGGAACTTCAGTAAAATTTATTTTCTAGAAATACTAGTTTGAACTAAGGATTACACTCCTTAAGCTACCAAGATATTTTCAATTAAACATATCCAACAAACTCCATATTAAACTTGAAGACAAATTTGCATTAGATGCTCGATTATAAATGCAGGACAACTAATCTTGAGAGTATATTAATCTAATTAAGTGAAGATAAAGTCACCCACCTGAGGATGGCGGACCGTTTCTCCTCCAACAACTTGCATAGTTCAACCTTTAGCCACACTACCTGCACATCAAAATGCTTTCCCTCAGAAATTCAAACAGTCGGGACTAAAATCAGGACACTGACATGTTCCACAAGTTAATGGACCTCATCACAGCATATATGAATGAACACAGTACCAAGGAAATCCAATGGCATTCTGTATAACTATCATGTTCCACAAGTTAATGGACTTCATCACAGCATATGTTAATGAGCATTGAACTAAGGAAATCCAATAAAAACATTTATACTTCGTAAACACCGACAACCAAAATTTATCGTCCACTACTAAAAGAAGTATGCATGCCACATAATATACATAGGGTGTAAAAGACAGAGATGGAAGTGGAGGATAGAGGCATTCCAGGTTATTCCAAAGAATCAAAGATTGACATCCCACCTGGGTATCCCACACAAAATACCTCCTTACGACATACCCTGTAGAACTGAAATAACAGAGGGTTCCTTTGCAAGCCTGTATGTTAATAGGCCGATAAGATAAGAGTCGTCTCTAGATATAGAAAACCATAGAGATGTAGGGAGTTATGAATCTGTATTTATTGTACCCATTCATCAGAAAGCCTACCCTCTCAAACTTGAATTTCATATAATATACCAGTGTTTTAAGACCTGGAATTGGGTGTTCAATCAGCCTTTACTGATCCAGATTGACCAATTCTCCAAGGTCAGAAAAATACTGAAGTATTGAAAAATAAAAAAATTGACATTAAAAATCAAATGTTAAGGGAACCACGCAGTTCGCCCAATCCAAGTTGGCAATTCACAATTAGAATCGCCTGGTTCTCGGATATGACAGGGTGAGTTAGTTATTCCCGATCCTGTACGAGAATCAACTTAAGTACATACGTTCCGGACCGAAATCGGCCATTTCTGAAACCTTGATATAAAACCATATGGCTAGATGCATGTGGTTCTTTCACCCATTCAACATTCCAACTATAAACGAAAAGGCATGGTAATGCTTACAAACATGGACACCAAACAAAGGCATTTTGAAGGAACTTGGACAACATAGTAAGAAAAAATCCAACATAATGCTGCACATTTTTTACTTGCAATGGAATACATGTAAGCTTAACAATATCATGAGAAGATGGTACCTGCTCTTGAAGGTCTGGAACAGAACTTGAATCATCACCATTTAGACCATTAATCAACTCATCCAAATCTCTCGTAGCAGAATCCACCAGGCACATATCCCCATTGATGTGCATATCACCCAACCCTTCTTTAGGGGCAGACTCAGCTCGTAATGACCCAGGGTCACGTTTGAAACTATACAGTTTAGTTGCAAGGCCCTGTGAAACCCTCCAATTGCCAAGCTCCTTGGAACGTTCATCAATAGCTGCCATCACCTCAGGCCGATGTTTTATCAGTAAATCTCGTAATTTTTCCTCCGTTACTGCTTGGTAACCCATACAAGCAGTCAGCACAAGTTGGCTGCTATCGAAGGTTGAACCAGCAAGAGACTGCAGCAAAGTGACAGCATCTCCAGCATCCTTTGTAGTGACCAGCGCAGGACCTACAGGTAATATGTGTTTTAATCATTTGCCACCAAAAGAATTATGAGCCTCCGAAGAATTCAGCTAAAGTGTCCAAATAATATAATGCTTTCATTATATATGTTATTCTAAGTTACATAGAAGTCATTATGTAATCAGTACTACCATAAACAAATGTAAGAATAGTATCCCAATACCATATAACTCCATTATGGCAAGGGCAGTACGAAAGAGCATAACCCGATTTCCATCGAACAGAAGCACATCCCAAACCCGCAGAACTGTAATTAAGGAAAGCCATCAGGAAACTAAAGAAAATGCAACAAAAATGAATTTTAAACCACTTGAAACTTTTCTACATATGCAACTAGGGTGATAAAAACAAGCTCAAGGCTAAGGAGAGGTTTCTGAAACAAGATGGCAAAAAATTGTTGAGTTCCCCACAACATTTCATGTTTTTCCAAAATACCAATGTGTGCCTGAATATGGGCGAATTTCATCAAAAGATATCCTAAGACAAATACGTACCACAGAAATTCCATATAAACATTCACTAACTAGCATCCTATATTGAGAACTTTTGGGAAGTTAATCAATGATTTGAAGAAAGACTTGAAGGATAAGAATAATTCATTCAAGGTTTGTGTGACATGAATAATTAACTACAAGTGCCATGGTCATATTGAGGAGTAACTCATAGCACGAATCCTGTTTAATTATTATCATGAGCATTTCTAAATTTCTTGGGGTGCTAAGTCATATTTCAGTAAATATTTCAAAAGTTTTTTTTTTTTAAGTTTAAATATGGACACTGTTAGCATGCGGCAAGCCCGCATATTATAGAAATGTGGGCTTGGCAATAAATATATTTTTTAAATATAATTTGATCATAATTTGTAGAATATATATAATCTTTAACATAGAATATATATAATCTTTAATATGAAAAAAAAAAATTGAAAACTAAAAATAATAATTATATTAAGAAAACATTTGGATCGTTAGCTACAATTATTTTTAGATGGACCACTTGTTTGCGTCCATCTTTAAGATAGATGCTTTATATCTCTAGACCGCATATTGTAGAAATGTGGTCCAGCCCACATGAAACAATTGTTCTTTAAATATTTCAAAAGTTTTCATTACCTTAACTATCTAAAACATGAAAGTCTTCATGACTCCATTTCTATTGCGAATGGCAGCTGAGTTACAAACAACCTAAATATTACAAAGACATTCCAATTATCTATGGTGTCAAACCACAGGTAGTTGATACGAATGATTGTAATATTGATGAAACTCAGCCGCCATAAACAAAAAAGGAAACTCGTCACATGATATTAAATAAAACCTGACCACTTTCCCAAGGCAGCATATTCACAAAAATTGAGAGAAACCAGGGTCCAGTGACCCATGCAACCTGCACTCCCAAATAGTCCAGATGACTAACTGCAGAGAAACAGAAAAGAAGTAACAAAATTGGTTAAATTGCCATGTAAAGAGATAATGATAGGCACAAATTGAAGGGCACAAAATTGAGTATATATAGCGACATTAAGCTAACCCAGTTTGGGAAATCGCTCTCTAACTAACTCCTCATAAACAAGCTGGTCAACCTGAAACCACAGGGAAGAAAAACTGCACATTAAAAATCTTCAAATGGTTAAGATATTCAGCACATCTCTAAGTACCAATCTTCAGAAAAACAAATTAAGAAAAAATAATAATAGCATCTGATATATTGAGACTTAAGAGGTCGAGATAAGATACTTGCAGTTGTTCGTGATAAAATGAAAGCAAATAAGAACCAACCTGGGACTCAATCATCTCTTCTGAATAATATCCATCAAAGTAATCATCAATGATGCCCACCAAAGTCCTGAAGATTATGAAAGTTTAGGACCCAATATGAGCAAAAATCCGCATAAGATTGTATCAGCAAACCATATGCATTCTAGCAACAAATGATGCACACCTACCAAAAAGCATTTTCCTCGGGCATCAACAGAAGGAGTAAGCCAGCAAAAAAATTCATGGCCTGCATCAACATAAACCATTTTTGAGCTCTGTTATCCAATAATGGAAAAAATATGCATCAAGTATGTTCTCTTTTTATGTTATAGACAACTTTTTTTTTGTACTTATATTTCCTAGTTACATCTCATCTATCAAACCCTACATGAATATAGGCCAGCACATAGAATGTACGGAAATTAGCAAAGAATATACATTTTTTTCAGATTATTAGAAATAAACTGCAAATTTTCCAAACCCTCATCCATATCCCTTTTCTTCACTGTTTGCATTTTTTTTTATGAAAATACCCTTCACGGTAGTCTTAGGATCCGTGAAGGCATAACGGTCTACCAAGAACCGTGATGGTCTACGGTTTTGGGTTTTGGGTCAAATGTGATGCCTTCACAGATCTAAGATTACCGCGAAGAGGGTATTTTTGTCAAAAAAATGTAAACAGTGGAGAAAAGGGGTATGGATGAGGTTTTGAAAACTTTGGGGCTTATTTCTAATAATCTAAAAAAAGGTATATTTTTTGATATTTTACCTAGAATGTATAAACATTCAAAATGCAATTGATAATGAAAAAGGGAATATTGAAGATTGTGAGCTACCCCAAGCCCATTGAGTAAGGAATCAGTTCAGACATGGAGGGGTCAAGAAATTGAAATACCTGACAGTAACCAACGGATGGATTATGCCGTGCATATGCAGTAAGCAGACGCCTGAGGGCATTACGACCATCTTCATCCAAGGCAGGGTGGCCTGGAAATGTCCGAGGCAGATCCTAGTGACCAACAAATAAAATAAAGTAAGTCCGAGCATCTCCTCAGATAACATATTTTCTCTTGTTACTTTTTGTCACAAAAAAATACTAATACTGTTACTATGAATTAAAAGAAAAAGAAAACAAACACCATGTTGCTAAATAATGTAAAAATGGATCTAGGATTCACAGTTGGCCCATTTAGGGACCTTTTCGATCTGCCCCTTCCATTTTTCTGGGGGTTTTGCATGCAGTTGGGTTGATGCTTTAGTGGAATTATCCGACTGGGAATTGCCACTATCCGTTTCCTCACCCTCAATACCCTCTGGAGCAAGCAGTTGACCATAGTATCCCTCTATCCTGCGTACCCTCACACCCACGAAAGCTTGCCATAACTACAATAAAAAACTGTATTAGTGAAGTCAAAAAATATAACACAAGTCCATGCAGATTGCAAAGCCTCTATTTAGTCAACCAAAACAACAAAACAAACAGCCTTCTTCATATAATTAGATAACTAAACCAAGGCAATATTATAAACAACTAACTATTTACCTCACCCCTAAGAGCCATGGGTACTCCTCCGCGAACAAGACATTCAAGCTCTTCTCTCCAATGAGAAATAGGCTCCAACTGAGGTCCATTACCACCTGACTCAGCAGCCAAATCAGAGTTTATAATATCACTGGAAGGGGCATCTTGAACTGGATCTGATCTCTCCACATCATAGAATTCATCATCTGAGTCCTCCTCAGAAACCCCTGCATAAGCCTTTGATGGCTTAGAAGGCCTTGTCTCTTCAATGGTAGGAAGATGATTTCCAATGCCAACATCAGTTCCAGACCTAGACAGGGATTTTCGCTTCTTAACACGAAAACTCAACATATGTTCGATGGCCCCAAGTGAAGGTCTTATATCAGTCCATATTTGGGCCTTATGGGTTCTTATTTCCTTTGTTACAGCCTCTCTTTCATCAACATTTTTGGCAAAATTAACACTGGATTCATCTTCTTCAACCTGAGCACTTCCTGACTCCTGCTCCACTACTTGATTGGGAACCCTTGAATCGTCCTTAGGTGAAGATTCATTAACTAGGTTGTGAGAAGAGTGTGTATGTGTTTCTAGAAAGTCCTTCCATCTTTCTGACCTTTCTTCCTCTTCTTCCTAGAGTCATAAATCAGGTTTAGCCAAAAACACACAAAAGAAACAAAGAGAATTCACGAGGTGTTTCGGTGGCTAAAAATGGGGGACCAAGAAGCATACCTTGTAAATGTTTGCATACTCACGATATCTCTGCAAGTGTTGTGGCCGCACGGTGAACCCATATGCATCCCTGTTAACATTGCAGACCACATCTTTCAAAGGTGAGAAAAAGATAGCTCTTTGGTAAACCCACACACATTAAATCACTTCTACAATGGAAAGTTATTTAATTTCCAAACAGGTTGGCAAATGAAACAAGCAAGGAATGAACAATGACCAGAAGTGTTTTATTCATCTGTAAATGTTTAGAAATTGTATAAATTACTGTCTCTCATTCATCTGGAAGTTTTTTGCAATCATATAATATTACTGGGCATATGGAACCAACAAATGAGTATCCACAATGAAAGTCATATAACTATAACAAGAGCGTCAAAATCCAGAATCATATCAAGATTCTGCAACTTCAAACCCCAATTTCTTCCTTATTGTTTAACAAAAAATTCGCAAACCATAATTTCATAAATAAGATGAGACAGTAAAAAAAGCATACCGATCATTACTCATACTTGCATCCGGTTTCCATCAGAAATCTATTTCAATGAGAATGAATCACAAAGGAGACACCATCCAAGAATAAGCAAACCAATTCTTCCATGACAATAGATTGCCTCCATACTCGATCAGAGTAAAACACAATCCAGACAATCCCTCATTACGAAGTATCACAAAGGACCCACAAACCCAAGCAAAACCGGAATCCAGTACGCCTTAAATTGTTCAACATACTCTCGGTACTAAAATGCTCAGCAGAGCATCTATGTTGAAACAAAAAGTCAATCACAAAACCCAATTATCAATAGATTGATTGTTTCATGCAACAAGGTCGATGGATCAACTACTTGAGAATTCCTCTGTCGTAACGGAGGTCCAAGACATGAATGAGCCTTAGCAATCCAAAATTAACAAGTAAAATCGCGATCAATAAACCATGTGAAAACCCTAAATCTCGAAAATGGATAAAAAAGAAGCCCCGGTGGCTAATAAAGATGTTAGAAACCCAACTAGTGCCGGATTGAACGCAGGTAAACCCTAGACACCACATTGTGCTTCTAGTCCAATAAAAACAATAAATTTACTCTGAACAATTCTCCATTTCACCATCATTTATATGTTTATCAAAGAAGTACTAAAAAGAGGCGAATTCAGGCAAGAAAAATCCATGGAAACCCCTAATTTGAGGAAATTAATCTGATCTTCCGAAAAATGAAGTCTCCAACGGAACACGCGTCAGGATCGAAAGCCATTTCGCGATAAAACTGTGAAGCAACGGCAAATTTCGGGCTTTTTCAGTAGAGAGAGAAAATCGGGGTCCATTTTGAACCATTCAAAAACAAGATTCTAGCATATCAGATCAAGAGCAAAAATTGGGCTCAGATGTAATCTAAAATGAATGCACATAAACTTTAGAGTTTTAGCTTTAGATTTACCGTTTGTGTTCGAGTGTGACAAGAGGGAGACCCTTGGTCTTCATGTCCAGTGGTTATGGCATCAAAGAAGCACCAGATTTTCAGTTATAATCACCACATTTCATGGCGATCCATGGCGTGCTCTCCTCTGCAACTCCAGTCTTTGATGGATTTGAGGGCACCAGATCCTAGTGTTTAGAGAGAGCAAGCAGCTTTTAGCAGGGAGAGAGAGAGAGATCCGACGTTTACTTGCGAGTAAAAGGAATTTGAGAGAGAGAGAGAGTGAAATCACATGCTAGTCTAAGGTTTTAGAGAGAGAGAGAGAGAGAGAGTGAGAGTGAAGGAAATATACTGATTTTGGGGGACCCTCACGAGAATCGAGGCATGGGGGTATGCATCATAGCACTTGGAGAGAGAGAAAAGGAGCATGGGCCAATGCGCTTTAAGAAGTGCCCTCCTTCATTTGAAATTTTCCAAATGTTACCCTTGTATTTATGACATGCACTAGTAGACCGGCGTCATGCTATGCTAATGCAAGGGAGAGTAGTGATTACGATTAGTGATTAGGGATGGATCGGGTCGGTCCAGGTCGGCCTCGGCACAGGGCCAGAGCCTTCCTGCCTAGGTAGTGTAAAATTGGCCCCAACTTAGTTTGGACTAAAAATTGGGGAGAGTAGTGATTACGGAATAGTGATTAGGGATGGATCGGGCCAGGTTGGCCTCGGCCACGGCCAGGCTTGGCCAGAGCCTTCCTGCCTAGGTAGTGTAAAATAGGCCCCAACTTAGTTTGGACTAAATATTGAGTTGTCGGGTCTAACCTAATCTTGGCCTGAATTTATTATAATAACGAGGCCGAAACTTAGCCTGAACTAAAAAAATTAGGTGCCCCTAGGTTGGGACTTATATAGGTATGAAACAAAATATTTCATATATGTAATAAATATTTCTAAAATTTTCAGGTTCGGCGAGTGTTAGTTTGGGTCTGGCCTGAAAATTTTTCTTGCCTACTAGGCATAGGCCTCTCTAAACCTAGCTTGAAACTAAGCTCAACTATCTATCATAAACCTGCTACCAGCCCTACGACTATGCCTACTAGTAATCAACTATGAAATATCGTGTCATATCATGATACACTGTATCACCTAGACATGGAAATGTGAGTCCAAGTTTTATGAATATTAATATCAAAATTAATTTTTGAAATAGGGCGTGTACGCATTTATAGATGTGAAATATTAGGCGGCATTAAGCAGTAATGAGATTTCATCCACAAATGCATAAGGGTTTAGATTGTTGGCAATCACACAAATGTTGTGCATCAGTAATCGACACACGAAAAACTATGGATACTATTTGTGCATTTTAAATAGAGTGCTACGAACTCGTATTATCTTAAAGTTGAAACTAGTGCTTTACAACTTATTGAAACCAGTGTTTTAAAACCCAACAATCTCGATCGAGAATCATAGATTTGGAGTGAGAATCAGCCAACACTGAGTTAGTTACATGAAGGTATCCGTCTGGGCTCAATTCCTCCCTAAACGCCCCCATCCACTCCCTTTTTTTCTTTTATTTTTATTTTTTAATCGTGTTTAGTGTTTTCTTATGAATGTTAAGTTTTATGTTTTTTTAATTTTTTTTTGTGATTGCCAATTCGAACTGATCTAAGCTAATATAAATCATCAATCTAGCAACCCGACAATAATATATGAGGCAAACGATTCACCCCAATCCAATTTTTGAAACATTAGTGGAAAGATATGATGAATATGTATTTAGAGCTGGACATCATTTAAGGGGACTAAATCAACCCCGTTCGCTAAATACTTGGAGGGATTTTTTTGTTAACAAAAAAGATAAAAAAAATGACTATTAGTATAAGATAACAAATGATATCAACATTCGTCATAACTTAAAAAATTGGAACCTCTTGTAACATTTAATGGGATAAAAGTAACATAATAGATCTTTTGTCACTCGATGAGAGCGAATCCAATAGAAAGTGTGATATGCCCACTAATTTAGTATTCGAACCACGTAATTTCCGCAGCCCGTGTCGTTTAAATCTTTTGGAACACGAGTGAATAGGTACTCCTACCTAGGGGTGGCATCAGGTCGGGTCCAGTTGGATCGGAACCTGGATAGTATTCAGATCTAAAATTTGGATACCTATCAAGCTCGTCGAGTCTCGGGTCTGGTCGGATCCAATACCAATCTATGATTATGAGCTTTTTTCTTCTTTTTTTTGCCTTTTTTTTTACCATCATATACTTTATGACTATGAGTTTTTTTTTTCCTTCAATAATTATGTATTGTTGCTAATATTGTGACAATACAAACACTTAACACATGCCTAAAGACACATAATTGGCATCATATACCCTATAACTACGGGTACGAGTTGGGTACAGGTGGGGTCCGGTTGGATCGAGACTTGAATAGTTTTTGGATAAAAAATTCGAGGCTTTTGAGGAAAAGGGAGAGGCATTGATAATTCATTGTGATTGTGGCGTCTGTGTTTTAGACCAAGTGTTTTAAAACCTATAATCGGGATCCAAAGTCACTTATCCATAATGAGAATTGACCCAAATAAAAACGCTTTTTGGAAGGTATCGGTACTGGCCTTGATCCCCTAGGCCTTTCTTTTTAATATTTTTGAATTTCTAAACCTTATCAATTTTTTTTTCCGTCTTCCCCTTAATTCTTCCCTTTTATTTTTCATTTTTTATATTTTCCTAATCGCCTAGCCGGATCGATCTAGATTGGCGATCCTACATAAATATGTTGAGTGGACGATCTACTTCACCCATCTTGGTTTTGATATTAGAATAGCCCGATAAAAGTGGGATCAGGCAATCAGGTCGTAGAGAAACTCAAAATTGCTCTATTCCCTAGGTTTTTAAAACTTTAAATTTTCATTATATATATACATTAATCTGATCCAAAATAACTAAAATAAGACTCAAATGATAAATGATAAATGATAATGTTGGTGACGATTCATACACTAATCCGATCCAAAAATTACCGGAATCGTATCTAAATGAGCTAGAACGTGCCCATGGCTTTGGATTAAGTGCAGGGTAAAACGGGCATTTCTTGGGTAGGAGGTGAGAAAGGTGTTTTGGTGAAAGGCCTAGACTGAAAAGTTGGGTAATAAAATTTGGAAGATTGAGGGGTAAGACGGTCATTTAGGGCGTCTAGTATTGTAAATGCTCGCTTTTTAAAGCATCATCAAAGTGTAAAAAGGTCGACAGCGGGGAGCAGAGTGACCTTAACCTACGGCCTTGCCCTTTTTCTATAATAGAAAAATAGAACTCCAATTTATCTGAATAAGAAATATAATAAAAGTACTATTGATTGAGGATGGTCAAAAGACTCAAAACTGAGGGTGGCAACAGGCCGGGTTTGGGCGCCGCACCGACTCTAGTCTGGTCCTCTAGAGATAGTTTATAGCCTAGATCCTATCTTTGTTAGGGCTGGGCTAGCTGGGTTGTGTCGCCCAGCCCATTGTCAGCCCTAGCCAAAATAAGGGTTGCAAACGGGTCGCCGGACCCGTTATCCAAAAGGTCGTGATTGGATCCTAGCTACTAGGCTAGAATTGGACCTAGACTTGGATCAGGTCAAGTCAATTAGACTCAGCCACCAGGTCGCATGTCTTTGTGTGCATTTATATGTTGACGTAAAATAAGGTCCATAGTAGGCCTAGATTTGGACTCGACCCAGGTTCGATCCAGGTTGGTCCAGCATGAAGGTCCAAACTTTGAACCACGTCAGATCCGACAGCCAGCATTCGACCCAACCCAATCGACACCCCTAGTTGAAAGAGCATTTATTGCTATCTAAGGCGTGTTTGGAGGGAGCATTTATTGAAGACTAACACTAATATTTTCCGAACTAATTTGGGAATAACACCAACATTTTTATTGAAGCTTGGTTGGCTCTTCTTGACGGTCTTAATTGTACATTGCTTTTCAAGAAAAGGGCACTCCAAATAGAAGGCCTGATTTGATGAAATTTGTGGATTACAAATGGGAAAAGTTTATAGAGAGCCGAGGCTCTAAATAATCAAATTAGAGCCTACTTCAAAAATTTCACTAGAAGAGATTGTTTTGATGTTCAAATATCCTCAAATTGATTATCTCAACATCAAGATACATGGACAGTCACTTTTCAAGATTTTCAACTTTTTATAGATATGTCGATCTACACTATTTTTAAAACTTTAAAATTTATAAATAAAGATAAAAATATATTTTAAGGCTATCACAAAGATTTTCAATGTTGAAACTAGCGTTTTAAAAATCGCCGAGTCGAACCGGACTCTCCCGGTTCGACTCGAAATTCGCAAAAAGGGACCGGATCGTTTTAAAAATTGGAAATCGTCCGGTTCTAGAGAGAACCGGACGATTCCGCACAGTGACTTGCCGATTCACTGTGCGGAATCGGCGAGTCCGTAAAGAACACGGGTTGCACAGTGTTCTTCACGGGATTCTTTGAAATTTGTCATTTTTTGATCATTTTTCTTGTTTTTTTTGGCATGTGATCTGATTTGCAGGCTGTACTCAGCTTTATTCAGCTTTTTCAAGGATTAAATGGTGGAAAAATTGGTTGTTTTTTTATCACGAAAACTTCGGGGTTTAGGGTTTCCGCCTTTTCTGAAATTTCATGCCAAATAGGGCATGAATCTTTCAAAATTTGTGGGGCATTTTGATCTTAAAGCTGTGAATCAAAACCTTTTGTTACTAATTTGTGATAATCGTTGAGAAAAACAGAGTTTTTTGGAGATTGAAGGCTTCGATTCACAAAAACAGGTAAGAACTTTGGGTTTTTTTTTTTTCCGCCATTTGATTTATTTCACGGCATATTTTGAACATAATGAGTTCAATAATTAGGGTTTTTAATCTTTATTGTGTCTAGTATGATTTAAAATTTTCAATTTTACATAATCTGGTCAATTACAGCAAGAAATTTT